ATCCAAGCGGAGTTCTAGCACATTGCGGCCTTCGTGTGTTGAGGCATGCGCGATATTACAAGTCATGTAATGCAAGGGTGCTTTAGGTCACACACGTTCTTCCCATTTCCTCCACATCGTTTCATCGCTCTCTCTTTCTCTCTCTCTCTCTCTCTCTTTCTCTCTCTCTCTCTCTCTTTCTCTCTTCTGGCCTATCACTATCTACACAGTTTGTTTGTGTGTTTTGTTTGTTTTCTCTCTCTCTCTCTCTCTCCTGGTCGATCACTATATCCACATTTTTGTTTGTTCTCTCTCTCTCTCTCTCTCTCCGTTTTTCTTGTTATGTTTCGTTTTAGTTTGTTTCTCTCTCTCTCTCACACTCTATCTTGTTCTCTCACTCTGGCGTCGGAGCTCGTTGGGTCAATGTGCTCATGCGGTACCGTTAGCTTGGCGGCGTCTGTTTCATGTATACGGTTTCGTTTCTACCTCGCGTGCCCCGGACATGTGCCCTCAAGCGCCTGTATCGGATTTTTTCACCCTTGCAATGTTAGTAGGAAGCTTCCTGCCCAAAGAAGAGCACACAAAGAGCAAATGCGAAGCTGCAAACGAAGCCATATACTTCAAGTTGTGGGTGCGCACGACCTGGCGTGGCCTTCATACTTTGTTGTCAAGCACCGGCAGTGGACCATATCTTATGTATTAGCCGCCATACTGGCTATCCAAAGTCTTCTAGTTTAGATCGTGTTCGAGGTAGACATGAGCCCCACAGCAATCTCGCTATGATTCGCCTCTTGCCATGCGAGCCAGTTCGGTACATTTGCACTTCGAGCGGTGGCAACCGCAGCATTACGGTTCTAGCATCATGGCCGGGTTGAAGTCATTCCGAGTATGTCCGCCCGTTCTGTTAACACATTCCGGCTCCCGAAATGTGTTCCGGGTCACAGCCAAGTTTCAGGGGCGTGGCGACGGTTCAAAACCTTGTTGCGAGGAATGTCCGCCCGTTCTGTCAATAAATCCAGCTCCCAATATCCTTCACCGAGTTACAGGTAAGTGCTGGAGGCGTGGCGCAGCTTCTAAGACGCGAGGAATGTCCGCCCGCTCAGCCAAATTCGGCTCCCGGAATGCCTCGCCGAGGTACAGCGGAGTTTGCGAGGCGTGGTTCGGTGTCTAAGCCTCCATGCAGAGCCGACGCAGCCTCTCCCCCCCCCGCGGAGCTTCCACGATTTCCCGGCGTCCACCCAACACCGGGTTTCATGGAGCAGAGGAATCCAGGGATGAACGAGGAGGGGTAGGACGAGGAGCGAAAGGAGGAGGAAGAAGGGGAGGGGAGCCTTGTGGCTAGAAGCCTCTCGATGGCCCTCCGCGAGCGCACTGGCAATCGTGCCCGTCTTGCCGCCTCGATAGTTCCGCAGTCCATCGCGCTTGCGCCCCCGGTGACATTGGACAGGCGCAGCGTTAAGGCGAAGAGGCAGAGCGTCAAGAGGGGGTGAAGGGAGGAGGACCGAGGGAGGGAGGAAGACGAAGAGGAATAATAATAATAAGAACAACAGGATGAATAATCATACACATAGCTTTCATATATGCATGCTGATGGTGGTGATGATGGTGCTAGTAATGGTGATGATTATGATGATTATGGTGATGGTGATGGTGATGGTGATGGCGATGGCGATGGCAGTGGTGGGGATGAGGAGGAGGAGGAGGAGGAGGAACAGGAACAGGAACAGGAACAGGAACAGGAACAGGAACAGGAGGGGGAGGAGGAGAAGGAGGAGGAGGAGGAGGAACAGGAACAAGAGGAGGAACAGGAGGAGGAACATGAGGAAGAGGAGGAGGATGAGGAGGAGGAGAGAACGAGGAATGTTGGCGGCCCTCGCCTTTCGGATGGTGTTTTCGTATGCAGGTTATCGCATGCTTCCTCCTCTTCCTCCTCGTCCTCCTCTTTCTCTCTCCTCCTCCTCCTCCTCCTCCTCCTCCTCCTCCTCCTCCTCCTCCTCCTCCTCCTCCTCCTCCTCCTTTCTTCATCCTCGCACAACTCCTTGCCGTCCTCCTCCCCCTCCCAGAAGGAGCACTGGCGTTATTGTGTTGCTCCCCCCCCAAAAAAAAAAGTCATCCCACCATCTTTGTATTGGGGGGAGGGTGGGGAGCGGGCGGGTGGGAGAAAAACCCTTTGCGGCGTTGTCCAAAAGATTCCTGGTGTGAGGATATCCAGTTTAATACCCTTTGTGGCGTGTCCAAAGGAGTCCCACCGTGAGGGTTTCTATGTTTTTACGGATGCCCCCCCCCCCGAACCTAAAAAACAAAGTGGGTAATGTGTTGTTCCAGTTTTTGGAGGGGGGCAATTCTTTGTGGTGTTTTCCCATGAAAGCCCCCTGTGCGGATTTGCAATAGATTCCCTGTTGGGGTGTTTTCCAATTGATTCCTGTTGAGAGACGTTCTAAAGTAATTACCTTTGTCGCGCTTTCCAGAGGGTTTCTGTTGCGAGGATTTCTCATATAATCCCCTTTGTGGTGGTTCCAAAGGATTCCCACCGTGCCAGTTTCGCATATAATGCCGTTGTGGTGTTTTCCAATCGATGTTTTGGTGAGGCTTTCCTATATAATCTTTTTGTAGCGCTTGTCAATGGATTCGGGTTCTTAGGTTTTCCAACAGAATCGCTTTGTGGTGTGTTCCATCGGATTCCTTATGTGATGCTTCCCTGTGGGACATCCTTGTGGTGCTTTCCAGAGGATTCCTGTTGTGATGCTGTCCAATAGAACCCCTTTGCGGCGCGTTCCAAATGATCTCCACTGCGAGGATTTCCCGTAGTCTCGTTGTGGCGCTTTCCAAAGAATCCGTGTTGAGAGGTTTTCCCATATAATCTCTGTGTGGTGTTTTCCGGAGGAGTCTTGTCGTGAGATGTTCAAATAAAATCTTTTTGCGGCGCTTGTCCAAAATATTCCTATTCTGAGGCTTCACATTTGGATCCCTCTGTGATGCTTTCCGGTGGATTCATTTTGTGCTACTTTCCCATAGGAGCCCTCACTGGTGCTTGCAAAGAGGCTTTCTGGTTTGAGTCTTTCCCATGGAATCCCTGTGTGGTACTTTCCGAAGGATTCCCATTGTGATGATTTCCAATAGAGTGCCGTTGTGGTGCTTTCCAGCGGATTCCTGTTGTGAGGTTTTCTCATAGACTCTCTTCCTGGTGCTTCCCAATGGATTCGGATTGTGAGGAGTGCCAGTAGAATCGCGTTGTGTCGCTTTCCAGCGGGTTACTCTGCGCAGCTTCCGAACATAATCTCCTTGTTGCGCTTACCACGGGATTCCTTTTGTGAGATTTTCCGATTGAAAACTTGTGCAGCGCGTTCCAAAGGATGTCCATTGGATTTCCCGTCGGATCCCGGTGTGGCGCTTTCCAAATGATCTTCGTTGCGAGGCATTTCAGCAGAATCTCATTGTGGTGTTTTCCAAAGGAGGCTTGTCGTGAGACTTTCCAATTCGAATCCCATCCCTTGGCTGCGCTATCCCAAGGATTCATGTTGTGAGGCTTCCTGGCTGAATCCCTTGATGGCACTTTCCGATGTATTTTTTTTTGGGGGGGGCGGCTTCTCAACAGGAGCGTTCAGCTGTGTTTCCACAGGTTTTCTGGTGTGAGGCTTTCCCATGGAATCCCTCTGTGGTGCTTTCCGATGGGCTCCTTATTGTGCGGCGTCCCAATACGAACCCCTTAGCGGCTCCTTCCAATTCAATGGAATTCCTGTGTAGTGCTGTCCACAGGATGGTTTCTTTATAATACTTTCCAAAAGGAGCCCGTCGAAGTGTTTTTCAGAGGAATCCTGTTGTGACGTTTTCCAGTAGAACTCTTCCGTGCTGCTGTCCCAAGGATTTCTCTTGTAAGGCTTTCCAAAGCAATCCCTATGTGGTATTTTTTCCATAAGGATTCCTGTTGCCAGGCGCTCCGATGTAATACATTTTGTTGCGCGGTTCAAAGGATCTCCACTGCGAGGCCGTCCGATAAAACCTGTTAGATTCCTTGCCGAAGGGTTCCAGTTGCTTGCTCCCACAGAATACTTCTGGGCTGCTTTTCAAAAGGATTCCAATTCTGAGTGTTTCGTATTGCTGGACAACGCTTTCCAGATGATCCCTGTTGCGAGGCACTCCTGTGGATCATTTCGCACAGTGTTCCAAGCCCGACGCTGTCCAATCGAATATTTTGTGTTGTCTAAAGGCTTCCTCCTGTGGTGCGTCCTAACAGAAGCCCTCAGCAGTGCCTTCCAAACGGCTCCGATTATGAAGCTTTCCAATCGAATCCGTTGGTAATTATTCCCAGCGGATTCCTGTTGTGAGGACATGGGATATGTTTGCTCCGGTTTCCAGAGGGATTCGCTTGTGATGCTTAAGGAAGGAGATGCGTATAATGTGCATGTTTGAGAGAGAGAGAGAGGCACAGGGAGAACGTGAGAGAGGAAATACAAGGATAATGATGAAGACAAGGCTGAAACTTGTAAAAGCTCCCTGGCGAAATTCCAGCCCAATGCCGTTTGGCACAGGGCTGGAGTTCCGAGGACCATGCTCGGGGGGGGGGGAATGTTTGTTGTTAAGAGGCTGGCGAAGAGTGAAAGAGAGAGAGAGAGAGAGATAGAGAGAGAACATGAGAAAATAATATTATCACGATAGAGAGAACGAGCAGATCACGAACACATTGTAAAACAATCATTCGAAACAGCGAGGGCCGCCACAATCCTCCGGCCTCGAGGAGGAAGAGGAGGAGGAGGAGGAGGAGGAGGAGGAGGAGGAGGAGGAGGAGGAGGAGGAGAAAGAGGAGGAGAAAGAGGAACAGGAGGAGGAGGAGGACCAGGAGTGGAGGAGGAGCTGGAGCTGGAACTGGACGAGGAGGAACCGAAGGTGGAGGAGGCGAGCACGAGGACGAGCACGCAGGGAAGCGTGGCCAGCAGCCTCCGCCCGACGGGCCCGCAGGCCACCCGACCACCTGCCCTGCGCGGCGGCCCCTCGCCCTCCCCCCCCCCCCCATCCCCGCGCAG